TCAGCGGCTGCTCAGCTCGGGCCGGGACTCGAACCGCTGTTGCTCAGAGCTCAAACTCTTGAGCGAGCTCTTAACCAACTGAGCCACTCGGCCGACCCTGCTGGTATTTTTTATGTGCAGTTTTATTGAGCTCATTGATCACTATTTCTCAACAGGTGTTCAGTGGGGGTTCTTAGTTTGTGAGTAACACTGTCACCATTAGCACTGACTATTAAGCATACCCTTGCCCAGTTAACGTGTGAACAGGCATTAAATGCTGTGCCACCCTGGAAAGCAAAATGGCAAGGGAGCTTGGCAGATGTAGTCCATGGAGGCCCACCTCTCGAGGCCTGGAGAAAAGCACAAAGTAGTGGAGAATGGATTGGAAGAAGGAAGGCCTACAGTCAAGTAGATATTGCATGTGCCTTTGCAATAGTTGGCTGAGTTCCATATTTTAATGACTTCTTTAACAAGGATTCATGACAATGATTTATCCCGAGTTCTTAAAAATATTTTCCTGCTCTCTTCCTAGTTGGATATAATTTCGCTGCATATAAAATTCATCAGTTACAATGTTCTTTCCACTGAGGATTTTGTAGGTATCGTTCTACTATATTTTAGAGTTGAATGTTGAAGTGGGGAACTCGAATGCCAGATTTATTTATTTCTTAACTTACAGGTTACTTTGTTTTGTTTTGTTTTGTTTTGTTGTTGTTGTTTGCTTAAATGCTCAACGAATTCTTTAACTCTGAAGTTCCAAGACTTTATTAGGAAATATCTTAATGTTGCATTCTGTGTAAAATATTTCTTGAAAAATTATTTACCTTCTCAGTATATTTAATCAAGTCTTTTTAAAATTTCTTAAATTGTACCTTTGAATACTTTTCCTGTTCTAACTTGTTTATTTCTTTCCCTCATGTATGCATATTTACATTTCTTTCATCTGTCTTCTATATCTATCACTGCTTCTTAATTTTTTGAACTGTTTCTTCCTAGTTTTCATTTCATTTTGCTAGCATTTCTCAACCCTATCTCCTTCTCCCTTACTGGTTATCAACAATATATATTTTCTCTTCTGCTGGTTGCAATGTATTTTTTTTGTGTGTGACAGTTATGTATTTTTTCTTACACTTGCCCCCTATACTTTGAAAGCTTATTTTTCATGTGCTCCTGCTTGCCCCATCATATATTGAGTGTGTGCTTCCATCTTTCCTTTACATCTTTATTTTCAAAATGTTTTGGATTCATGGAGATAACTGATCACGATTTTCATCTGCTCTCTAGAAGCATTTCCTAAAATTTATTTTTCTTCTTTCTTCTCTTTTCCCTTTGGAAATACCTCTGTAGGAAAGATAATGCCATTTCCTTTTTTACAATTACTTATTTTTGTATCTTGAATAGTTATGTACAGAGGACAGTTGTGGAAGGTATGAGGGTAGCATTCAAGGTAGCGGGAATTTTTTCTGGCTTGAAATAAAATTCTTGTGACACAGGGGTGTGCGTGTGTGTGTGTGTGCGCGCGCGCGCGTGTGTGTGTGTGTGTGTGTGTGTGTGTGTGTGTGTTCCTTTACTTTTCTCTGATCAACACAGATCATGATCTCTAGTGTTGATCATAATTCCGTTTGTCTCCTACTCTGACTAACTGACAGGCTCTTCTCTCCATGCATTTTCTGATTCCTTGAGGTTGGTGCCAAATAGGGTCAAGGGAAGAGTCCATTACCAAGTTGGGAATTCACTTCCTGTCATTACAAATAAAGGATTTTGTATCTTCATGGTGAGAATCTAGTGGAAAAAAACTGTTTGGCCAGGCTTGTCCAAGATCAAAACCTTTATCTTCTCTTAGAATTTTCCAGCACCCCCCTCAACCCTACATTTTTCTTTTTAACTTTACTTGATTTGGTAACTCTTCCTCATCTGCTGTAGTTTGTGGTTACAGATGTCCAACTTTTGTTGAAGACAGTGTTTGTATTTTTAGATATTATTCTTATTCCTTGGGTAGTGATTTTATAGCAGTGATGGAGAATAATGAGCATCTTAAAATTTGAAATCATCCTTGTGGAATACACTTTATATAACAATCTAATCACACAGCTATACACACTGTGTATTACAAAATGGAGCTTTATCCTCACCACACATTAACCTCTATTCATCATATATAGATATCATCATGGAAGGTGCTGTCCATCATAAACAAAGATTTTTTTTTTCAAGGAAGACTTCCAGCTATACCTCTTTAGACAAATTAGGAAACGAGAATTGAATTTTATTTACCTATTAAAATAACTGATGATCTCCTCAAATATACTTGGGTGCTCCCCAGGAATCCTAAGGTGTCATCTATCAAATGTATAATGTAGCTCCCATGTGACATGAGCTGGGAATAAAACGGAAAGAAAAAATGCTCTCAATTGTTGAAAAAACACATTCGCTCCCTTCAGAGAGGCTTGCAGAGAAAACATGGTTGCTTATATTAAATCAGGGCCCGTTTATAACTTGGGATTTCTGTGTAGGAGCTTTACTGTCCTGCTTGCAAATGTTATTCAGTTTAGTATAGGATTATCAACCCCAACCTTGTGTTTCTAACCTTTGGTTAGCATCCTTCCATCCCCACTTGTCTATCATTATACTTTATTCCTGTTTTTAGAGGACCAGCTCATTAGGCAGTGACCAAATAATTCCAATTTTTCTTTTGGTGATCTGAAATGCTGTCCCTAGGTTTATACCCCCCCCCATAGCTACTGTAGGTGGGTTGGAGGAAGCAGATGAGATAGCTGATCAATGTTGAGGAAGAGGAAGTGGAAAATGTTCATTTTCTCTGGTCTCAAGCCCTCGCTGTTACCACCCATTTATTATTTTTTCTTCACACTCCTCCAACACCCACCCTTGTCCCCACTGACCTTCCTCACTTTAGAAAACCTTTAATGTTCTTTCTGTAGCTCTTAACGAAAGCAAACACGGAAGGGCCTCTTACCAGATCATTACAGAGGTTCAGCACCACCCGCTCAAAATTGTGATGTTGATCGTTAAGCAAAAACGACTGTGGCCAGTGTAATTTATTTACACAGGTTTCTAATGTGTGTTTACATGCCTGTGAAATAGAAAACGGCCCATGAGGGTTTGTCTCTTCGTCCGGCGTGACCGCAAACGCTGCGATTCTCTGCCACACTAAGAAAAAACAAGACCACAGGACTTACTTCTACGACTCTGATCTCTGGATCCTCCAGAAACAGGATCAGAGGCACCAAGCCCCGGAGAGCCACAGGATTCAGCATCCAGGTGTACTGACTCATGTCCTGGAGTAATTGGCCAAAGTGTTGGATGGCCATACACCGAATATCCGCGTTGTTCTGGAAAACATGCACAGACAAACCTCACGTGAGGGTATTACTAGGGCTTCTTTCTGTAAACTGTGTGATAGATGCATTTATATGTATTTATACATGTGGATGTATGTATACCATCTAAGTATATATGCTATATATGTTATCCGTGCACATGAAATTATTATTTCTTTTTAGAAAAGATTCACCTTGGGTCTAAGCAGTCAGCCCTTTGATTCTGAAATAAAATTTGCTTACCAAAATTCACATGGCATTAAAAAAAAATCCCCTGTAGGGGTGGCCAATTAGCTCAGTTGGTTAGAGCATGATGCTAATAACACCAAGGTTGACGGTTCGATCCCCACATTGGCCACTGTGAGCTATGCCCTCCTTTAAAAAAAAAATCCCCTGTGAAAAGTAAATTTCTTAAATTGAGGAAGAGAATATCTAATAATGTCTTAAAAATAGAAACTGCAATCATCTGTATAACTTGGAGATAATTTCCATCAAGATACTTAAAAGTAACCCCATTGTGTTCAAATGCAGGAGGCTTTTGCAATAATACCAAGGGGAGCTCCTTGGGCTCTGGCTGGCATAGATCCAGATTCCCCAGGGCTTGCTTATGCCAAATAGAAAGGTGGTTGGATTATAAAGATTCTAGAAGAGAAAAGTTGCCAGTTAGAGGAAGAGGTTAATTTTTGAAAATATAATACTACCTTCCAGTTTTTAAGAAATGTTTATGATTTTATTTTATTATTTTATTTATTTTATTTTATTTTAATGTGGGAGTCGAACCAGCGGCTTTGTTGTTAAGAGTGCATGCTCTATCCACTGAGCCATCCAGGCAGCAGCTAAACTCAAGGTGTCAAGTTCAGTCCCAGCTGCGGGTGGGTGTAGCCACCATCCAACAGGCAATCTTGTCTTTAGGAGCACGTGCTCTCACCACCTGTTGGCAGCTCAGTGGCAGCTCAGCTTGGGCGCAGCTCGGGCGAAGCTCACTCGCCCACTGGCCCATGTGGGAATCGAACCAGTGACTCTGTTGCTCAGATTTCGTGCTCTTAAGCAAACTCTTAACCAACTGAACCACTTGGCCGGTCCCTGATTTTATTTTATAAAAAACATCTCTTCCTTTCTGTTCTCAGGAATAGATCAGATATATTCCCAACAAAATACAAATGGCTAATACAGCTTCATATGTTCCTTCCAAGAGGAAATTGCTGGGATCAAAGCCTAAACCTAAAGCAGCGATAATGAAATCATATGTCTCAGGGACTGGACAGTGACATATGAATAAATGAACAAAGTGGGTGGCATTTGAGAAGAGCAGGGAGATGATGGAGACGGGACAGAGGACAGCCCTGGCCTCTCAAAGAGGAACCCCGACTCCCACAGACCATGGTCAAGAGCATTTGTGGGCTCCAGTATTCCCCAATCTTCTGACATTTCATTCACAATTCATATTTTTGTGAGCTATCTCCCAGTTTAAAAATATCAAACTTACACTGTTGGAAGGGTAAACTTAACACACCTGCAAATTGCCTTCATCTGCGGGTTACCCGTTTGTATCCTGGGTCTACAGGAGCACATGGCAACCTATGAAGGGCTGTACAGACCAGTGGAAAGAGCTTAGCAGTCCCCATGCCTGGTGAAATCCCAGTTTTGTCTCCCATAGGTTGAGTAAGTGTGGGCACCTTATTATTTTTTTGTTTGTTTGTTTCCTTTTAATATGGAGAAACAGAGTAACAGGTTCATTGATACCCAAATATTTTTTTCAAATACTCTACCTCCAAGGAAGACAGGGTACAATTGATACTTGATAACTTTCTGTTCTCTTTCATTTTCCTTCTTTTCGTTTGGTTTGGTTCGATCATTTATTTAGTTTAGTTTTCTTTTTCCCCCAAATGATTTTATTTTGAAAATTTTTTTTTACATGGACATTCTAACTACTTATTAGCTTTGTGAAATGGGCCAAAAATTCACTTCTCTTTGCCTCAGTTTCCTTATATGTAACCTGGATAATAGTAATAGAGTTTTTCAGAGAATTATATGAGATAGTGCATGTAAACCCCTTAGAACAGTGCCTGGTATATCATAAATGCTCAGTACATTTTAGCCACTATAATTATCATTATGCCCTTATAAAAATAATTTTTGGTACTAAATTCCTTCTTTCTATAATTTAATAATATTGTGCTCTTTTTCAAGGAACTCTGAATAATTAAGAACTTATAAATGCTGGCAAGGTGATTTACTATGAAATAATTCTCTGGTTCACAACCAACTTAGTAGAGAGGTCTTTAAATACAAATAGGTTCCCCACAGCATACCAAAGGAAGTGCCCTTGCTTAGTAAAATGTGTTATTCTCATCCTCCTTGTCTGGAACACATTTACCATACAACATGAGAATTTTTAAAATGCACACCTTTCTGATGAGATACTTTTTAATTCAAGATTTTCTGTGATGATAACACCCACCTCTGGGGCATCACACATGTCTTCTCTAATCCCCACAAGACACCTACTACACTCTTTGTTTTATAGGTAGGGGATGGAAGCATAGGAAACTGAATCACTCACTTAAGATTTCCTGGGTAGTAAGAGGCAGAACAGGGATTGGAATCCCAGAGGTCTAGCTCCAGGGTTAGCCAGCATATAGCCACTACATTAAATTTCTCTTTCATCCAAGGACAGAGGCTATTCTTTTGTTCTCCTTTTTTTTTTTTTTATGAGTAGACTTTTCCAGGTTCTTATCGTGTAGTTAAGAAAAAAAAAAAAGACAGTACTTAGCTGACTAGGGTTGTTATCTCTGGAAAAGAAATGGCAGCTGTGTACAACATGACTGCTTCCTGTGGGGCTTCAGCTGGACTGTGAAGCCTAAGGACCTCACACATCTAGCTGTGGAACTCACGTGGTCCATCAGATGACAGTAGCTTGAAGCAATCTTGGTACACAAAGAGGAGTAGGTCAGCTTGTCCAGCTTTCTTAAAAGTCCTCGAAGGGTAAGCAAAGCCTGACTTATAACCGTCTTGTCTTTGGAATGGAAGGCATGCAGGATGGATAGTAATATGCTGCTGATGTTTTCTATCTACACAAAGAAGAAAAGGGTGGGATTTGGGAACTAGAAGGAGACTTGAGCTAGCATTAGGTATGCACACCTGTGAGTTTGGGCAGCCTGTAGCCATGGGCTGGAGCTCGTCACAAGTGTCCACTGTAAAAAATTCTATAAGCTGATTGTTAAATAACAGTCACTATTAAAAATTAAATTTTATAAATTTGGAAATAAAAAAAACCCCAACAGTAATAAATACTCAAAACGTATCCCTTCCTATTTATTTTGCTATGTTTTACTCTTAGATGCCCTTGAGGTTATTTACATATATTGTATCTGTATGGAAGGAATGTAAACTAATGATGTGCTACTGTGCATCTCTTTCCATCTCCATGTTCAATGCCATCCTTTTGGTAGCTTGAAATCAGCCACGGTGGGAGTATTTACACCAGGGACATTGGCCTTATTACCACTGAACTGATTGTTAAACATTTACTCATGCACCACAAGCAGTATGCCCCCTAAACTAGGTGACACTGACCTTTTTGGACATGAGAGCTGCTGAGCCAGGTCATGGGAGTCAACTGCAGATCAGAGACAAGCAGAATATAAAGCAAGGAAAAACATGAACAGGAGACACCAACAGAGAGAAAGGAAGGCTGGAAAGAAATGAAGTAAAAGAAATAAACTAACACTGTGTGCTAAAATAATAGCCCAAGGCCACTTGTGTTTGGCCGGACAGCTGAGTTTTTCCCAGTAGATGGGATGTGATACCTCAGTGTAAGTCACTCTACAGTATTTGTCTTTCACTGTCCTAGACAGCATGGGCACAGAGCCGCCCTTCAGCTGTTAACAACATTGGAAAGAGCGCTGGACAAGAAAACAAATAACTTTCTGTTCACTAAAAGAATGTACTTTGACTTGTATGATTTATTTAAAACAAGTAGACCATGGCTCATTTCATTCTAAATGCAAAACGGGTGCCCACGGACAGGCTTTAAGCTTTCAAAGACTATACTTAATCGATAAACAAGGATTTATTGTTAAATTTATTATTAAATAAAAAATGATTTATGGAACATCTACACTCTCAGCATTGTGCAAGGTACTTTGAAATTTACAAGGGTGGGCCAAAACATAAGGGTATGCTTGGGTTCAATTTTCCTGGGAGGCAAGGTAGAGTCACATGACTCTGGGAAACAATCTAAGATGGTGGTTTTCAAGTTTTACAGGTATTATTATAGAATCACCTGGAGGACTTTTGAAAACACAGAGGGGTGAGCCCCACCCCCAGGATTTCTGATTCCATAAGCCTGGGGTAGGGCCTGACAATTTCAATTTCTAACACGTTTCTAGGAGATGCTAATGGTGCTGGTTCAGAATTCTCCTGGAGAAACCCCGTTATAGAACATTATATAAGCGAGTGCTCATGGTCGATGTGGCTCTGAGAGGGATGAGGCTGCCAGATCAGATGTCAGGGAAATTGGACTTGAGCTGATCATTGAAAAAGGAGAAAAAATTGTGACTGTGCGAGTGAAGGAGGAAAATGTTATACGTGGAAGAAAAAACGTGGGTGAGTGCTCCGAGATAGTCAGAAATGTGCATGCATATGTGTGTATGTTGGAGGGGAAATGAACGTGTGTGTGTGTGGTTTAGGCTGTAAGAAGGGTATTCATGTAAGGCAATGCTGATAAATTCTGGGTACAATGAATGGTGTTCTGGGAAAAATATAAATAAGGTGATAAAGCCACTAAATTGATGTAATACATCCTTTCCACTCAACCCAGTTCCCTTATTGGTAAAACATCAGTGAGGACCTTGAGCGATCTCCCATCTCAGATTATGACTTGGGTGGTGCTGGCAGGCACCAATGGCACACACACATACCTGGTTGATAACTGGCGCCATGCTGGCGATTTTCTGAAGGCTCAGTTTGCTCACTGTAGGACTAGAGTTATTGACCCAGTTTATGAAGAGAGCCAGAAACTCTTCTGGCAATGGGTCTTTGAAGAAGCTGTTCAGCAGCTGGAAGAAAACAGCTAACACATTCATAATCAGAGTAAAGGCCAGTGCATGATCTCTACGTCAGTCATAAAACTTGAGACATTTGCAGTAAAGCTAGAACATGAGTCACTAGAGCTCCAAATACTTATATGTATTTCTGCATATATTTCTGTGCTCACATCACCACATATCAAACGGTGAAGGCATATTTTCTTTTTATTATTAGTAACCAATCTGTGGAATGATGATTTGGTGCCATGTGAATATTCTGTTTTCCAACAACCTTTCACTTAATGGTTTTAAAATTCATTGATGATCTTTTCTTCTTTCAGTTATTACATTGAGACTTGCAAAATGGTGATTTTCTACTTCTAACATTCTCTCCACATTTACTAGCTCCCTCCATCTCTCCCTCTCTCTCTCTTCCAAGTTTTGAGTATGACCAAGAATTTACTCATTGAAAATTTTTTCAACTAATTACAATTACTTGCAGTTATTATTTCTCTTGACCTTCAAATTTGGCTGATGGGAGCTCCTACAGGTTGACTCTTGTGTCCCTTTGACATGACCCATCTATCTTTGAGCACTCCTTTGCTTGTGGAAAATTAGATGTCCAAGGCTCATTGTATATTTTCCTTGTCCCCTGAAATAATCCAGTTCTTTAGGGAGACAAGGTTCCTTTCAGTGAGTAATGGTACTGAGAAACCACTGGATACTAGGGTGTACTCATTGCTACTGGTGCATCATGTGTTCTGAGCCTTTACTTGAGCTAGGAAATACTTTTATGGTCATGAGTTAATTTAGACAATGTTGATATAGTCAATTCAAATATGATATAACAGGGTTATGATAAATTTTTACAATTTCGTGTTTGCCTCATCTTTTTCTTACCTGGAAAACTTTGGTGCCTAATAACATTAATATTTTTACTTATGTTTTTGCTTTCTGTTATATAATGCATATCATAGTTTTGAAATTATGATATCAACATACACTATCAATACATCTCTTGGGAAAAGTGAATAATTTTTAAAAATATTTTTGTGTTTAGAATATTTCTTGTTAAGGATATATAGTCAAAGCACTATGTTTGTAGGTTACTTTGTATCCTGCACATATTTGTGTGTGTGTGTGTGTGTGTGTGTGTGTGTGAGAGAGAGAGAGAGAGAGAGAGTGAGACAGATATCAGACAATTCATTGAGAAAAATACTAAAATCATAATAGGTAAATGGGCAAAGAAGAGATCATATTATTCACAAAATGGAACTGTAAATGAAAGGCCAAGGCAAAAACACATGATTCAGAAAAATAAAAGTTAATGATTTAAACAGAAGTAACAGTATTCTCATTTTTCATACATTAGGATTATATAACTGGAAAACCTAAGAGAATCAAGTAAAATATTATTAGAATTACTATAAGAGCACAGGAAAGTTCTGAGTTCAAGGTAGTAGTTTAATTTTCCTGAACATCCAGCAGTAATAAACTTGAAAAATCTAATGAAAAAGGCATATTCACACTAACAATTTAAAATAATATAATCTACTTAATAATTCCAAAATTAATATGTAAAATTTATAAGAAAATGTCAAAATATTGAGTAAAAAAGAGACGTGAAAATATTATAAAAATATCAAGTATTCCTTAAAAAGCTCATAGCTTTAGTGTAGTTACAATGATAACTTCAGAAAAAGTTGAGTTTTTTTTTTCTTTTAAATCTGGCAAATTTATTTTAAAATTTAACTAGAAGAACAAATGTATAGGAAGGCTAAAGAAATTTTGAAAATAAGAGAGTTGAGGGGAAGTTGCTTTGCTAGGTGTTAAAATTTATTTACAAACAGCCATAATTCAACAGTGTGATACCATCACAATAATGAAAATAAATGGAACCTAACAGAGTAACCTGAGACAGACCCTAATATGTGTGTTTGTGTGTATGCATATGTGTGTATATATGGTAATACCTTGGTTTGTGAGCATAATTCGTTCCAGAAACAAGCTACTTGTATTGCAAGACATCGCTCATTTACCACGTTAAAATGTGTTAGAAATGTTTGCTCGTCTTGTGGGACACTCACAAACTAAGTCACTCGCAATCCAAGGTTTTACTGTATATGAAATTAATAATAAAATTCATAATTAAAATAAATAAAATAAAGGTGGTGTCACCAGTCAGTAGTGAACTTAATGCTTATTAATGAAATGATATTGGGATAGGTAGTTAATTATTTAGCAAAAACTAAAGTTAGATTCAAAAGGATTTCCTCAATTTGCTTGACTCTAGTATGGCATTACTAGAGTCATATATGGTGTAATATTCATAGACAAAGTAATATAATTCTACATTTTCATTCTACCCAGTTATTTGGCTCATTCCTTCTTTTTTTCCCCCCAGACAATCTGAAGAATCATGTAGATCCCAGATGTTACCTACTACCTTTAGCAAACTCCGTTTTCCCTCGATATACGTTAACAAGCATGCAGGACTATATAAACTGGCACAACAAAAATAATTAGTGTCCGTGTAAATCCATACCCCCAAGAAACAATAAGATCCAACTAGCTCTTGGAGCAGGCTGAAGGGACAACCCTCCCATAAGCCAGATCTCTCTCCCCTTCAACCCCTCAAATTTAGATATCTCTCATTGTCTTAACTCAGGGCAATTGTTGCTTTTTATCATGAGTTAAGAGAGGGAGGTAAAAGGTTGCAGTGTTGACTTAAGCGTTTGGGTAAGAAAAGGGAGTGAGAGCTCAGTTGCTCACAGCCTCATAATAAAACTTACTTCAGTGAGAAAAATTACTGTGATGACATTGTCCTCTGACCTCTGAAGACCTTCCACCGAGAGCTTGTAGAGGTAATGCAAGGTCTCTGGGAACTGCGGAAAGTTATGGTTGCTGAGAGTTCTGTAAACAAGAAGAAGGCACTGCATTAACAAAGCAGATAAAAATGCTTTCTGCACCAGCAAATGGTAATGGCAATAAAGACAGAATCACTATCCTTATATCTTGTACCGCCTAGATAACAGGGAAGAGATGCTCTAATATTCCCGAATCCAGGGTGCACTGCAGCCCCAGCATAAATTCCACACAGACTCTGGGGAAGTACCTGGATCACTGGCAACATCTCTCTTCTTAACACCACTGGCCCTCCCTGTGTCCCATCCTCTGCCACAGAACAGAATGTCTGGTATCCCCATAAGCTCCCATCAGTGCCGGGCCACAGGAGAGAAAATAAATAGTGCAGCATAAATATCTTGGCAATTTAGGATGGGCGTGTGGGTCACCTTTGTGGTTTTAGACCCAGTTCTTCCTTTGAATGATATTAAGAAGAGAGCTTAGGGCTCGCCTGGGTTTCTCTGGAGGAGGTGCTGAGCCCTGATTCCCTCAGCCATGTTCCAGGACACACGTGGCCGGTGGCCAGGCTCACAGCTGTCCCGACACGCTGGCCTAGATCAGATCAGAAGTGACAGGATTGGGAAGGGTGATGTGACAGTGATTCCAGGTTGATGTTCGAAACGGGTGTTTCTCAGGCTTCGTCGATGTGCTTGGACATCCCCCGGGGGTCTTGCTAAAACGCAGGTCTGGAGTGGATTGTGTGAGCCTGTGTTTTTAACTATCAGGGGCTGCTAGGGCTGCTGATCCGTGGGTCACATCTTGCATATGAAGACGGCGGAGTGGCTCTTAGCTAGTGACACTACACTTGTGCAAAACAAGGTGTGTTCCTGAAATCGGTGTGCAAATCGGATGCCATTTTAAAAGCACCAGGAGCCCAGAGACCATTTGGAATGTACTTTCTGGGTCCACCACGGCATCCCATGGTCTGTTATGCAGTCAAGGCCATGTATCTTGATTTTTGATCAGAAAATCTGATCCCTGTCATCAGAAGCTTGCTATTTATTTACTAACAGGCTACCCAGGGGAAAAAAACTTCCTAGTACAAGAAAAATTAAAGTCCTCTTCCATTATACTTTGCCAAATTTATTTGTCTCATGGAGCACTGATGTCTTTTATTGAGCCCTCCTTCCTGCCTGAGCAGGGATGAGCAGACAACAGAGGAAGGAAAAGGTAAACTTACCTCTAGTTGTCCGTATCTGAGAGAGAAGTCTGTCTTGTGGAGGGAGGGTGATTGGGTATCTGTATCAACGGGTGAGAGGGCAAGGAGGGGAAAACTATCCCAAAGCATAAGCCCCTCCAAATAAGTGAAGAAGTAGACATCAAATGGCAATTCAGGTCATCAGGCAAGATTTGGAAGTTGGAGTGGATATTGATTGTGTCCCTATGTGGCTTAGCTGAAGACAGATGGAGACGGTGGGATAGAGCCCCAGAGCCCCATGCAGAGCCCCTGTTCTTACTTGGCAATGAGGTAGACCCCATGGTGGCCAAACAGCTCCTGGGAAAACTCGTCCCAGCAATTCTTTTTCTTCAGAGCCATATTCACCTCGTGCAGTCCAGAGCAGTTCAGCAGAGTCCTCAGGGCATCCTGGGCATAGCTAAGGCCCCAAAGAAGAGCAGAGTCATTACCTGACCATGGCCTTCACGTAACTAAGTACATGGGACCTGCCTTTTCATTCCAGAAATCTTGGGCAGGGTGCTGGTGTGGGGAAAAGGGACGTTTGAAAGGAAGGAGGCTGTTAAATACTCTTCCTCCCCCTTGATGGACAGGACATGGGGTGAGGGGTTCAACTGAAATCGTAGCATGTACAATCTAGGACCAATCCTAGAGCAGCTTATTCGTTTATTAGCTTCTTAACAGCTTATTCACAAAAGATGTTAAATGATGTGATAACTTGCTCAAGGCGCCTGTTGATTCTCTTCCTTGGATGCTTTCAACAAATAGGGCATAGTCTCATTTACTTGGGATGACTTTGCGGACGTCTGCTTAAATGCCGGAGCGTGGGTTAAATATCCTAAATGGGATTGACTGTGTTTGAGAGGTCTGCCTGGCTTAGAAGTCCACCCCAGGTAAGGGCAAATAGCAAACCGTTGGGTCCTGATTTTCCTGGAGATCTGCAGAGCTAACTGTACTCTCTCGGGTGCATGGAAAAAGCTGAACCTCACCTGATGTGGACAGAATGGCCGCATGCTATCACAAGCCCACACACCCCAAAGCACATCCCTGCACATCCTTTTCTCCTCATTCAACTACACCGAGCAATCCCTAGCCAAGAGTACAGGGCAGAGCTAGAAAGCGTCTGGCTTTGGGTCACATGCTTCTCCCTGCGCCCTCTCCCCTTGGTGACCTCTCATCCCAGTAGGGATACACCACGTTCTGTCAAAGTGGTTCTTTATACACTGCAGATACACTCAGGGAAGGTCCCGGCTCACTCCTAAGGACTCTGGAGAGCTCCTTTGCTGAAGGCATTTCCCCCTTCAGAGGAGAGCCAGCTGTAATAAACACACATACGGGATGATAAAGGCTTTTATGTAAACCCGAGGGCTTAGAACAGCTGATAGCTGGCAGCTGATCTCTTATTCAATCTGAAATAATCGCTAGGAGCTCACAAGAATCTGTGGTCTGTCACCAGTCTCACACTGCTGCTGTAAAAGAGCTGAAACATGATGGCCATCAAGAGCTGAGGGAAAAACTGGGCCACCGCTTTCTTGCAAGAACCAAGAGACAGCAACACGCACAGGGCCTGAGATGCCTACGAGGAAAACAAAAAAGAGTCGAGGATAGACGCATCCTTTCCCCCTGAATCCAGCCAGCCTCAGTGAGGGGGTAGGGAGGGACTCTGCACCGCCGTCCCCCCGACTTCCTTGAAGGAAGCCTAAAGCACGCACGTGTATTCCTTCATTCAATAACAGCTACTAAGTCCATCTTGAACCAGGAATGTGCCAAGCATCCTATGGCAATGGGCTCCCAAAGCACTGTCAGCAATGCCCCCCTCTGCCAAACCAGTGGAAAGCAAGCTGGTCCCCAAGGAGGGCAATCACCCGAAGGCCCCCTTCACCTGTGGCCGTGAAAACTAGTCCTGCCAGTAACAGGGTCCTCCCTGGGCTTAAACAATCTAGGGCAGTGAGATATCAAGGGGACGCTGGCCAGGCCAGTGACCACTGCCATACCCACCATGTCAGAGAAACATATCCTACCACCTCACACCTGGGGAGCACTAGCCATCTTTTTCTAGGATATCTCTGTAAGACTTGAATTGACTACCAGGAGTGGTGGTTTCGGTCCTCGGGAGATGTAGTATCATGATGGACACACATGAGATTAGGCCTTCACATGCCTATAAAAGTGTGTGTGGTCCACCTGGGGGTTACCTGTCTGATACTGTCTCCTACATGGCCACGCGTGCTCAGTTCTCTCCAGGTGTTTTTTCCTCCTTGCATTCCCTGACGTAACAGGTGAGCTCCCATCCCTGCAGGACTTTTGCCCTTCTCCGCCTAGAACTCTGCTGCCCAGCTATCCATAAGGATCACTTCCTCATGTCATTCAGGTCTCTGCTTAGATGTCGGCTCTGCAGAAAGCCCGCCCGGCCCTGCCCAACTTACCTAAACCCTCCCTGTCGCTTCCTTTTACCCACAGCCCTTTATATCTCTTCTCAGGTGTCTGTCACCTGACATATTTTCACTGTTGAGAATGGAAGCTTCATGAACAGGGAGGGACACAGCGTAGGCGCTCAGTATGTGTGTGATGGGTGAATGAATGAGAGCAGGACCGTGTAAGGAAACATGGCTGGGTCTGAGGGCAGATAGGAATGTTCGTGATCAGGAGAGTGACCCCGAGGACAGGAAACACGGGTACCCCTTACCGCCATGGGCATCATATTAGCTTTGAGAGAGAACTTTGTTGGGTCCTTCAGGCTGTTCTGTATTTCCTTCGGCTTTCCTTTCAGTATCAACAAGATGGTCTTCAGCACATACGGGGTGACACTTGGCTCGGAACCAGCCGCTTTCCACATCAGGATCAAAGGGCTGTGAACACCCCCCCCACCCCTCCAATCAGAACCAGGAGCTTTTCATGTCCTGCTCAATCCTGCGACATGAGGCAGGAAAATGGTCTTGGTTCGACATCTTCCTGTAGCAAAGAAGACACAGCAGAGAAGTCCAAAACAAACTAAAATCCCCATTTCCAAATGACCCCACTGAGCCTCTTGTCCTTGAAAACAGAGGGAGAATTTCAATCATAAAAACATACAGTTCTGCAAGTTCCTTTCCTACTGCGATTTAAATATCTGTTCACAGCTCAAGGTCAAGAGCCTGGCAGCCTCTTGTAGCCCATGTTCTGCTCCTCCCACCTCATGATCTTGTTTGTCCAGGGATAATAGAATATTTAAAAACTGGTATGGAAATGCAAATTGATGTATACGTTAGGCACCAACTGAAAAAAACAATAGGTAAAAAAACCAACTACATAAATTCAAAACTCACATTTAGAAAATGGAATTAAAAGTGAAAAAGTGAAAATGAAATGAATGGCTCAGAGGAGCAAGCCGTGTGCCAACTATTGCACCTTTAATCAGTGACCCAGATAAGAGCAGGATCCTGGTTTCTCAGCGTCCAGTCCCCTAGTTCCCCTCCCTATACACCTGGCTGCCCTTCAAGGTTATTCTTCCTGTTGCTCATCTGAACAACGGCCACGCCCCTCTGTGCTGGTATATTCCTGGGATCTTGTTAATCCATGCTGGGTTCTCTGCACTTAGCTTCCTAATAATGGCACCCTGGTCCCACAGGACATGGACATACCCTGCTCTCTAGAACCCATTACGCAACTGCTCCTGCCTCTTAGAACCGTGCTTAAAACCACATGGACATCAAATCTCACACTCGCGTCTTACTCCCTTATCTGTGGTCATTCCTCTGGCTGATCTATTTTTTTGTTAGCCTAACTCCAAGCTCCCATCTTTTCTACCTCAGTCTTCACCTACTATTGCACAAGACCTGCTTGTGACTATTTTAATTAAGCTCCCCTAACTCGAATTCTCTTGCTTTCTGTACCTCCTCAGCACATAGTGTTTGTACTGGATTCACTGGCCACTGTCATCTTATACCCTGTGGGTATATTCCGTCTCCTCAACCAAATGCTAGAAGGCTGGTAGTATTTTACACACGGTGGGTGCTTAGTTCCTGAGTGAGTCAACGCTGAGTCTTAGGAAGACTGTTGGTTTCCAGGAATTTTCTAATTAGTAAAACGCCTTGTGAGTGGAAGCTTCCTCAATAAATACAATGTTTCAGTGGGGAAAAAAAGAAAGTCAGTCATCGTTTGGTTTAGCATTTGGTTGATTTCAATGCCCTTTCACAGATGTCAGCTATTTAACCCATGTAACAGCTTTATAGGTTTACCTAAAAGCTCTTTTTACCTAAAAGAGCTTTCCTTATTTCCCAAAAGAGGAATGGAAGATCAAGGAGTTTATGAAACTAGCATCGCTGGGATGGAATTCAGACTCATTTGTTTCCGAAGACTGAATCCATTCCCTAATATCACTTCCTGCCTTTTTCACTGTTAATAATAGAGCAAGTAACAGCTTCCTTTCCAATGTGCAAACTATGGAAATGGAGTGATCTAATTTACTAATATCTTCGAATGTGTCTATTAGAATCATGCTGTCCCATAGGCTCACGTTAGCATTCTTTCCATCTTAAATATTTCTTTTGATCCAGGACCCTGAATTTCAGATAAAAGTTAAGGAAGAGGGGACTCCCAATCATATCTGGGAATTCTTAATGTTTTGTTATTTTATTGGTGGTGGGAATATCTTACATCTGTCCTTCCTAAACAAGAATAAAACACTATGAATTTTATCACGTATGGGGAAGAAAAAAACCATTATCACTTTGAAGAGAAGTATTTTCCTAAGGGGTATGAAGAACACAATTTAAAGCCTCAAATAAATAATGATGGCATGATCATTTCTTGATGTTCTACTGTGTGCCCGGTATTGTACGAGGATATAAATAATATGTGATCTTATTTAAGCCTTACCGTCATCCTGTGTGATACAAACATAGATACTCTCTTTTAGAAGAAAAGAAACTGGACATCACTGTTCAGGTTTGTCTGACTCCGGACACTGTGAACAAACCCTTGCAGAAGGGGTACAGGGGGCCTTACGTGTTTGCTGGGCTTGGGTACTCCATAAGCTGAAAGATGACTTTTTTGGGTGACGTGCGTGTTAGCAGAGCAATGACCTGCAACATAGCCTGCTTCATCAGACACGAAGGATTTTCACAAAGTTGCATGTAAATAATATTCACGATCTTAGTCACCTGGAAAAGAAATATCACAGGTCAACAAGAGTCTCCTGTTCCATGGTCACCTCTAAATTGAGGCATTCTTGGATGTCAGAATTCAACCCTTCTCAGAATGACCAAGGCAGCAATTAACACACAAATTAATGCTAGCAGAAAGCATATTTATATTTGTGATTACACAATGCAACATATTTATTTAGATGAGGAATAAACCTGTGCATTTATTGATAGTGGAGAAATACCCATGGAAAAAAACGTTTATTTTGGGAGAGTGGACTTGATTACATGACATGTAAGCTCACTATAGAAAACATAAGTGTATATAATTCAAATCTTTTAAGAAGAAAGTAAAAATAATAGAACATAATAACAATAGAACTATATACCTCAAAATTTTTTGACAATTAAAGAAGACTTGAATCTACACCCTGGAGGGGTGAACTATATGTTGGAGGGATGGACCAGAATGGTAAATGCTGACTCATAATCTTGCAAATTCCAACCATAGGCCCCCACATTAGTTTAATCTCTCCCTCCCGCCACCCCCCCCCCCGCCTTTTATTCATTCTTGAATAAGGAGAGTTGTAGCTAGACCTGGGACTTTGTCTCAAATCAATGGTTGTCTATTCATCATCAGATTTAATCCACCCAGATCACCTCACTTCTTATTTTGAAAATACTCGTCAGAAATCAAACGCTGAAAAGTTTGAGGATGTACGTTTAGATTCCATTGTCATTGCCTCATATACAACTCAATTATTCATGCCTAACTCTGTCCTCCAAATGAAAGAAAAAAATTAGTGTTAGCGCAGGGCGTTCCTCCTACCACACACACGATGAGGTGAACTTGAAATGGGAGACATTCAACCATTGTCTTCCCCATAGACCTCTTAACTGTTGGGTTGAGAACTCATTCTTTTCATCCTCCTACTGCTTCAAATGCAACATGCCCCTAAAACAAGCCAGCCACGGTCCTGTGTGCTCATTGCTAGAAATGATGGTCTGCTGTAATCCTCAAGGAAAGAAGGATTTTAAAAAACCTAGATTTATTTGGAGGTTGTTGATTTATTTAGAGATGGTAAGGCACATACTATATGTGCCATTTAGGGGATTTTCAGGGATAATTTTAGCCAGACACAATTTGTCATTATAACTGATTTTAGAACCTAACCCTTTTTAAGATGAGAATCCACTGTATTCGGTAGTTCAGTTGTTTGTGGGAGCCAGGGTGTGGTGCTAAGCTTCTGAGCCCCATTTTGTTGAGTTTTTTTTTCTTGTGTTTAATGATTTTACTGTAGCATTGGCTAGTTTTACACACCTAGTTTTCTGTTTGGCCTCGCTTCTTCTCCAGGGTCTAGGAATGGCTTTCTCTCTGTCTCCTCCTCTTGCACTGCATGCGAGGAGAACTTCATTTTGTCAAGGAAATAACTGTTGCCCCCTAGCTCGCCTCTTGGTTCCATCTGCTCCTTTCAGACTGCTGGACTGCTCGCATCTGCAGCAGCACTGGGAGTTCTACACGAAGCGTTAATTACCCTTTCCTGCTCTCTGAGCACTAGGTCTACTGGGTCTCAGTTTATTGTCATCACATCACACTGCCAGGTCAGGAGAGGGAACTGGAGTTCCGCCTGCATGTCACCATCAGGGCTGGTGTTATGGGCATGTGACCTGGGCATTTTCACAGGGTCCCACACCAAGAAGATCCCTCACTTTGTTCAAAGATCTGCTGTTGCCCTCTTGGTATTTTCCACAATTTTATCTTTGAGCTTATGTTTTGTAAGTGAAGTCCCATGACACAACGGAGCATGCGTGTGAGCGGATGAGATGTGTGTAACATGTGAGTCAGCTGTGGTTCCTTTTGCCTAATTTACATGCAGCATTCATGACACCGTAAGTGCCCAGGATTCCAGTGGACCTGTCCAGTGGGAAATTGCAGCGAGTATAAGATAAACACTTGGGCTGAAATGATAACATAGAAGGAAAGAGGAAGATGGGGCATGCCAAAACCCTTCTCCTTTCAGTCTTTCCTTACTCATGAAGGAGCTGAAGCTAGAGAGTGGGAATTGAATGTGTGAATGACAAGAAGAGAAGTAAAAACAATAGAGTTAGTCTTGTGTAGCGTTGCCACTTTTCTGGTAAGAATGAAAAATGTGCATGTAGGAGCCGTGAATAGCATTATCCTGTTGAGTTAAACGCTCTTGTATTTACATCTATAATACAAGAGAATACATCTTATATAGATGTAATATAATACATCTATAATACTGGCATTGCGCAATGTAAAGATGGGTGGTAAAATTCATGCTAATAATTTAAAATTTTAGTGTATTTTTTTCAATTAGAAAGACATTAAATAGAAAATAAAACACTATGAAAAATTGAGAGAGAGATGAGAGAGAGAGAGAGAGAGAGAGAGAGAGAGAGAGAGAGAGAGAGAATAAAGGAAAAAACTTGATAGGTTTGTACATTTAATGGTACTTTTTTCCTATTTTTGAATAAGAAGCCTCCCATTTCATTTTGTACTGGGTCCCACAAATTAGGTAGCGAGTCCTACAGCAAGCTGAGGGTCCTTGAAAACTTTCCTTAATGGTTAGTTACATGGGTGATTTCAATTATAATTGTACTATTATATTTTATTGTTATTAATGTATTTCTTTTAAAAATTTGAAGCAAACACAATAAAGCATTAAGATTTGGTATGCTTGGTGGGTGAATGTTCACTACATTATTTTCTAAGCTTTTCTGTATGCTTGAAATATTTCACAAAAAAAAACTCAGTAAAGTGACATAATGTTGCAATATCAAGAAATACATATGAAAAAAAAGTAGACATATAACAAAAGTAATAAGAGCGTTTTAGATAATAAGCTCTGGCCAAGACAAGGAAACAACCAAAGTGCCCTTCGATAGATGATTGGATAAAGAAGTTGTGGTGTATCTACACAATGGAATACTATCCTGCCATAAGAAAAGATGAAATAGTGCCATTTACGACAACATGGATGGGTCTTCAGATTATTAGGCTAAGCGAAATAAGTCAGACAGCAAAAGTTGAGAAGCATATGATTTTACTGATATGTGGTATGTAAAACTGAAAACAACAAAGGAACAAGACAAACAAATGAAGAAACAAAAACTCATAGACACAGACAAAAGTTTAGCGATTACCAGAGGGTAAGGGTGGAGGGGGGTGGTAGATGAGGGTAAATGGATCAAATATATGGTGATGGAAGGAGAACTGACTCTGGGTGGTGAACACACAATGTGATATACAGATGATGTATGACAGAATTGTACACCTGAAACCTATGTAACTTTACTAACCATGGTCACCCCGATAAACTTGAATTAAAAAAGGAAAATAAACACTGTGCACTCCCGCTCATTGTCAAGTATCTTACCATGATGACCTTGTACGAGTAGTATTCCAGAGTCACTTTCAATATGGCGGCCGCCTCAAGTGCAGTTGTGTAACTGGGTGCAGAGAGCTTCATCAAGAGACTCCACACAAAGTCAGTCAGCAAGGAGGGCAGTAAGGCTTGTCCTACCCTCTAAAACCAAGAGAGAGAGCCATGACCTCATGCCTTACCTACATCAACTTAAAAAAGACAACTAGCTGCTGACATCTCAGAGATGCTCAAGGGCCAGGCAGGACCATGTGATTTTCATGGGCTCTAGAACTTTTGCGGTTGTGGGCTTCATTAAAACATGTTACAAATTATAATTCTCAAAAAAGTATAATTTACAGCTGTGTCAGTATTAAGATGACTGTAATTCAGGCTGAATTACATATTTTCTTTCCTGAGTTTTAAAGCAATTAAAACATTTTAGCAATGAATACATTATTTTTCCATCTGGGGAATTTAGCTCTAGGGTGCAGGCCAGGAAGAAGTAGAAAACCATGGCATTAAAATTAAGAGGAACTGTAAGATATTGATTTTACCCCAACTCTTCTATTCAAATATTAGAAATGATTGTCAACTGCTCAGCTGTGGAAATGATTTTGTTCAGATCAGAAACAAGTGTGATTAGCAGAAGACGCAGAAGAGAGTGGAGTAAGGAAGACAAGGCAATTTGAGGGGTGCACTTTTCCCTTTCCCAGAGAAGGATCAAGAAGCAGGAAGAGAAAAAAAAGCCCATATGTCTATGATTGAGGTACAAGAACTACGATTCAAACAATCCTTTTTTTCACATCCCCTTTGAAGACTTGGAGCATAGCTCTTTTTGGTCAATAGTGCAGGACTAAGGTCTGAGTGAGAGTGATGTCTGTCTCCTACTGGACAGAGCGGTGAGGGATGGTGTTCTTGGGATGCTAGGGATGAAAGGAGTGTCACTGAGGCTTGGTGAATATCATAGTTTGCCTTATTTTAAGAAAGCCAGATTTAACTATACAAGATGTTGAATTAGAAAAAAATCATTGCAAGAGGCGATATTCTCTTTTGTGCATTTATTTATTTAACAAAATATTTTATTTTAGTGTCTATTTCAAAGTTGTAGAGGAAGTAATTCCTAGTGATCAAAGTTTCTGTCATGTGAAAGTACAGATATGACAGTAATAAAATGATAGGGCTCGCTTTATAAAATGTGGTGTATACATAACTCTTCAGAAACATACCATTCACATAGGGCCAGCTGGATTCTCTAGAAAGTATCTTCATCTCCTCCTATTTCTTACTGTTGTAACATGGCATTACATCTTTTTGATGCTACTCATTGTAATGCTGCACAATATACAATTAACTTGATATTCCATAATTTGTCACTTATTTCTCACATTTAAAAAAAAATCATACATCTGCGAAAAGCCTCTTCTTATAGGTATATTATTTTGACTTATTTCCTGTCTATAAATTCCCATGAGTGAGATTACTAATTTACTTGGCATGAACATTTTTCTTTCTTTTCTGTTTTGTTTTAGTCTGTGACAGTTCCATAGCCCTCTACGGCTCCTGTAGAAGTCAATGTCCGTTCATAACTGGTCAGGAGAGCCCCCTAGTTTGTAAATTCATTATTTTTTTTCAACCCAATCTTCCCATTTAACAGCGTCTTGCCTCTAGATCTCTTGGCTACAATTCTTGCATCCTTAGGACTTTGGCCCCTTTGGTCCCCTTACTATTGGGTTGTCGAAAAAGTCATGACGTATTTTGTCGATGTTTTAAGACATCCATGTCATATATTTTGTCCCTATTTTTTACCACTTTCACATCTCCTCAGCCCCCTACAATTCCAACTACCTCAGCTGTTGCAGGAGAGGTCACTGCTTTATATGTATAGTTTTAGGAGGAGCCATAAGACCCTCCCAGCCTAAGAGTAAAGCTAGCCTGAAGGTGTTTGCTGACCTGTTGGCTCAATGAGTATGGCTGGAAAGCCATCTGTTGGACAGCCAGACAGTTTCAGTTTCAGGGCTGGGTGCCCCTCCCCCTCCCCTGCCCCCAAGCGGGTGGATAAGACAATGTACTTTGAAGAAGGTGAAGGAGTGTATAGCACTATAGAGCCTCATTGTTTTCCCTGAGTGTTGGGTCAATGTAAAAACTATTTACTTGGTACTGTGGTTAATCACTTAAACTTAAAAAAAAGTTAATAGGTTTTTTTTTAAAAAATCTAAATCACATTATGTTTATGTTTGCTGAGTAAATTGTGACAGTACTGAAAGCCTGTTTCTTGGTGACTCCATTAATTTTTCTAAAAAACCAGAAGTTTCTCATCTTTAATGGCTTGTTAGCCAAACAGAAAGAAGCTTAACTACTAGGAAGCTTGCACCTCATTTGTATTCTGTAAGGATTAAATAAAATAATATAAACTGGTATATTCAGGAATAGTAGGCATAATTCTTATTAAAAGAGATGAAGAGCAGAAAGCGAAACATTCTATATATCATTTACTCTTTGCTTCATTAAATGTAAAAAAATGGATAAAATGATTAAAATATAAATTTTGTTGAAATAAATTGTCATTGAAAGTAACAATACACATGAAACAAAAGCCATAGGATAAAATAGCGCCTAAGTTACCTGAGCAACGTTAGTTTTGTCTTGTAAGATGTTGGGTTGGAGCTCTGAATCTGAGGATAAAGGCAGGAAGGTTTTATTTTTTGCAATATCCACTGTGTTAAATAAAAGAGTACATTTTTTTATTTGATGGCTGGTTCCTTCTACAACATTGCTATTTCCAATTTCCTCTTGCTGCCCAATTCTGGAGATCTTAAGCTTTCTGAATATTTAACACTGTGGCGATAGTTTAGTCGCATAAACTACTGAGGGTGCCAAAAAAATGTATACCCATTTTAAGCAAGGAAAAATCTGTATTAAAATTGTAATACTCAATATGTACCAACAACAAAAGATAAATACAAATCACGTTTGACTTCTGCAATTACAAGAGGTGCTCAGAGTGGTTACTATCAGCGTCCAGACACTTCTAATTACGGTGAACTACTGCTTGAGCAATGTTGACCAAAGTGTCCACTTGCATACATTTTTTTTTGGCACCCCCGGTATTATGACTGTGCTGACCCATGAAATATACATATATATGTATGTATATATATGTATATTTATATATATAAATATAATATTTATATGTATATTTATATATACATATGTATATATAAATATTTATATGTATATGTATATATATACATATAAATATGTATATATTTAAGAGAGGTCTCTGTGAAATATGAATGAAGAACATAGATAATTTTAATAGGCTGACCAGATGTCAAATACATTTAGGCATCAAATGTGTTGAAGTTCAGGGCAGTGGAGCAGACACTGCTACGCTGGAGCGTTTGTTGGTGGAAGAGCAGACTGGGAGGCATTTTGCCCCAGGCTGGAGGAGGGAAAGCCAGTAGCTCTCAATGAAAGCTTGAGGTGCAGGTGTCTTTCGTTCCAGAGAAGGTGGGCTTTAAATGAATTGTTTGTTAACAGCTTTATAGAGATAGAATTGCTGTACATCACATTTAAAGTCTACAATTTGGTAAGTTTTCATATCTGTATAGATTCATGAAAACATTACCACAGTAAAACAAAACATATTCATCACCCCCAAAAGTTCCCTTGTGTCCATTTGTAACCCCTCACACCAGCTCCCTGTACCCACCCCCTGATCCAAAGGGAACTACGGATCTGCTTTCTGTTAAGCTTGTATTTTCTAATTTTATATAAGCAGAGTCATATAGTAGGTACTCTTTTGTTGTTTGGCATCTTTCACTTGGCAGGATTATTTGCCATTTGTCTATGCTGTTGCATGTATCAGTACTTCAGTCCTCTTGACGGATGAATACTCTTCCATTATATGTATATACTATCATGTTTATCCCCTTGCCTGCTGATGGGCAATTGGGTCATTTCCAGTTTTTGGCTATTACAAATAAAGGTGCTATCAACATTTATGTACAAGTCTTTTTATGAATATTTGTTTTCCTTTTTCCTGGGTAAATACTAAGTTGTGGAATGACTAGATCACGTGGTAGGTGTGCATTTAACTTTTTAGGATATCGCTAAATTATTTCCCAGAGTTGTGCCATTTCACATTTCTCCTTGCAATGCGTGAGAGTCCCAGTTGCTTCCCATCTTTAACGTGACTATATATTGGACATTGTTTCATGTGCTTCCTTGCCACCTGTGCTTCTTTGGTGAAATGACTGTTCAATTCAACTTTTATTTTTAAATTTGGCTGTCTGTTTTCTTAGTGGGTTCTGAATGTCCTTTTTCAATTCTTGGTACAAATCTTTTATCAGATATGCAACTGTAAATATTTTCTCCCAGTCTGTGGCTTACCTGTTCTCTTAACAGTGTCTTTCAAAGAGCAGAAATCCTTGATTTATCGCTTCTTTTTCATTTATGAGCCATGCTTTTGGAGTTGTATTTGAGAAAGCTTTGCCTAATCCAAAATTTTTTTTCCAGTTTTCATAGTTTTAGGTTTTACCTTTAATCCTGTGGTCCATTTTGAATTAGCTTTGTATATGTATACAATATCGATAAAATTTCTTTTTGGCATATAAATAACCAACTTTTTAAGATTCAATTTATTGGAGTAACATTGGTTAATAACATTATACAATTTTCAAGCATGCAATTCTATAGTACATCTCCTGTGTATTGCACTGTGTGTTCACCACTCACATTCCAGCCTCCCTTTGTCAGCATATGAAATAACCAATTTTTTTGACACCATTTATTGAAATTTATATTTTTACCACTGAATTTATGGATTCTATTGTGCTCATCAGAATGTTGAATAGAAGTAATGACAGTGCACATCCTTGTCTTTTTCCTGATCTTTTGGGAAAATCGTTCAGTGTTTCACTATTAAGTATGATATTAGCCGTAGGTTTTTCATAGATGTACATTAGCAGGTAAACAATGTTCTCTTTTTATTCCTAGTTTTCTGAGAGTTTTTTTTTTATGAGAAATGGATGTTGAATTTTTTCATGCTTTCTCTGTATCTACTGAAATGATCATATAGCTATCCTTTTTCATCTGTTAATATGATATGTTGCATTGATTGATTTTCAAATGTTAAATTGACATTTCAGTCCTGGAATAAATCCCACACGGCCATGGTTTACTATTCTATTTATGTATTGTAGTATTTAATTTGCTAAACTTGTTTAAAAAAATTTGGCATCTATGTTTTTAAGGGACATTGGTCTAGTTTTTTGTTATGTTTTTAATTTTTTAAAATAATGGCTTATGTGATTTGGATATCAGAATAATGACAGCATCATAGAATGAGTTGGTAAGTATTCCCTTATCCTCACATTTCTGCAAGAATTTGTATAAAATTGGTATAATTTCTTCCTTGAATATTTGCTGGAGTTTTCTTTGTGCATCTGGAATTTTCTTTGCAAGACTTTTTAGCTACGGATTCATTTTCTTTGATAGATAGTGGGTATTTAGGTTATCTGTTTCTTCTTGAGTGAACATTGGCAATTTGTGTCTTCAATGACTTTGTCTGTTTAGGTTGTTGGCATAAACTCGTTCATAGCATCTCTTATTATTCTTTTAATACCCCTACAACCTCTAGGACTATCGTCTTTCACGTTCCCAACATTGATAATTGCTGTCTTCTCTCTGCTTCCCTCCTGCCCCATCTTCTCAAAGAATCTGCGTTTGGCATTATGGCTGTTCCCTTCTTGTTTTTCTGCTTTTTATTTTATTGGGCTTTGCTCTGATCTTAGTAACAGATTCTTAGTAACCCTAGTAAGAGAAAGTGGCTCTTTCTTACCATTCTGACACTGTGCGATGGAGAGGAGGTGATACAACCCCAGGGATGCTTGTTGTGCGGTGGATGGATCAGTATGGAAACACAGAAGAGACAGTTCTGCTGCTAGGACCCCCAGACACGGAGCGTCCACATTTTCCTAATGGAAAACGAAGGAGAAAAATGCACTGCAGAGACAACATTAAATGTCTGCCCCTGAGCCTCTAATATAGTTTAATTGAAGGGACAAATATTCTTTGAGTGAAGCACTTTCTTCATGCTGGTGGGCACGTGGGTTATGTAAAAGAAATACCGGTTGAAAATATATCCGTAGAGTGAGAATGATAGTCAGGGTTGTTCAATAGGACAAGAGCCTCTGAGACTCTGGAAGACATAGGCTAGGGCGATTTCTGAAGAAAAAAGTCTTTATCCTGTGAATGGACAGTACTCGAGAATAGAATTGGGAGTTACCTTTGGTTTGAGGAGGACAGAACAAATCACTGATTATGTGTTGTAGGGATACAAAGATCAGGCCTGTGGTAAGCTCAGCTTTTAATTTACTAACAACATTTTTTATTTTTAGATTATATTTATCTCCCCACTCCCATTAATTTCACTGACTTAGCCATCTTCAGAAGACATTCTTTAAAGAGAGAGTTTAAATATTTAACTCAGTGAAATTCTTTGCTTCCATGACTATGATCAGCTGTATCCATGTTCTGGAAAGTACTGAAATGCTCCCACCTGGTGGCATTAAGCAGACATTGCAGAACAGAGGACGAGGCTATCCCGACTTGGCTTCTCAAATCAATCTGTTATAGGTAGGAACCCTCAAAACCGTACGAGAGCTTTCTGCTGTGCCTGTGTGTTTACACATTTATTCTTTCACAGCTGAGGGGCAGGCTGTGTGCTGGGGACAATGAACTTCACAACTGCAATTGAAAGAGGCTAACTATATAGTATCCATAGAGCGAGAAACGTTTATAGATCATGTAAAAGGCAGGCGATGGTGTCGCTGAAAATGTAGAACACCTCAGTAAATATTGGCAATTGTGAGATACCTATTTCTTCTCCATTTGAAAGGCAACAGTGAAAAAGTCTGATAATATCCCAATGCTTGTGAAGGTGGAAATGGGCACCCTAATATTTGAAGGGGGGCTCATTGAAAGGCAGTAGTGCATTACTAAACTTTAAATCTATTCACACTTCTTGATCTGTTTTCTTTTTCTTTTCTTTTTTTAGCTGAGCCATCCTGCCACCTGTTGACAGCTCAGCAGCTGCTCAGCTCGGGCCGGGACTCAAACTGCTGTTGCTCAGAGCTCAAACTCTTGAGCGAGCTCTTAACCAACTGAGCCACTCAGCCGGCCCTGTTTTCTTTCTGAGCATTTTTAAGTACATACTCACATACTTGCACAGAGATGACCATATTTGTATTGTCTGAAGTAGGAGAAAACTAAAAGGCACCAAAATATTCAGCTGAAATATCCATCAGCTGAAGAATAGTTAAGGATATTATCATGTATTAAAATTACAGAGCACATGCTGTGGCTAAAAGAATGAAATGAATCTATGAAAATATCAGTGAAAAAAGCAAACTGCAGGACCATAGGTAAATATGATGTAAGTTTAGTAAAGAAACACTAAGTCACAAAACTATTGTGTCTTCGGAAAAGTCATGACGTATTTTGTCTATGTTTTTCAAAGGCCATTTATTTAGATAAAGAACAAAGATCAATCAGTGATATATTGCCTGCTTTGTTCGATAACCTTTTGCCATATTTCAGTGAGTTTCATAATTCCTCATTCTTAGAAGGACCTGTCTTTATTTGCAAAAAACTGGACAAGGTGCTGATTCACAGCCTCATCTGAATTGAACATTATACCAAGCAAGGAGTTTTGAAGAGAGTGAGACAAGTGGAAGTCTGATGGTGCAAGGTCAGGCGAGTATGGTGGGTATGGCAACACATCCCATCCAAGCTCCAATAATTTTTGACGGGTGATCAAACTTGTGTGTGGTCTCGCATTGTCGCGATGGAACACAACTCCTTTACAATGAATAAGCTCTGGACATTTCTCAATGATGGATTTGTTCAAACTCTCCAATTGCCGACAGTACACATTCAAATTGATTATTTGGTTCCTTGGTAGGAGCTCAAAATACACGACACCTTTTAAATCCCACCACACTGAGAGCATAACCTTCCTCTGATGAATGCTTGCTTTCAATGTCGTTTGAGGTGAATCATCACATCGGGACCAAGACTGTTTGCACACCACATTGTTGTAAACAATCCACTTCTCATCACCAGTTATCAGTCACTTCAAAAAAGGATAGTTTTCCTCATGCTTAATGAGCATATTACAGATGTTTATACGCGCTGTCAAATGAACTTCTTTGAGTACATGCGGAACCCAAATATCGAGCTTGCTTATGTATCTCAGCTTCTTCAGGTGGTCATGAACACTTGAATGATGGATGTTCAATGTTTCTGCAATCTCTTGTGTCATGTAACATGGGTTTGACTTGATCAATTCCTTTATTTTGTTGTCATCAACCTTGGTGGGCCTCCCTGACCAAGGAGCGTCATTCAGACCAAAATCACCAACACGGGATTTTGTGAACCATCATTGGCACTGATGTTCTTGTAGAGCATTGTCATCATAAACTCTATGCAACTTTTCACAAGCTTGATGCATGGTCTTCCCTTTATGGAAGTAAAACAGTAAAATATGGCAAAAGTGCACAGTTTGGTCTTCCATCTTCAACTTGTTGTAAAATCTCCAAAACTCAACCAAATCACTCAATTTTTTTTAGAATGAAGCTAGAACTGTCAGCTGTCAAATGACATAGCAGTGACATAGATGTGAATGACTCTAGTACTTACAAAAATGAACTAGTGCCATCTGTTGCAAACATGCGTCATGACTTTTCCAAAGACCCAATATATATCTCCCCGTGTGTATGTGTATGTGGGTGTGTTTGAAAGCTGTTTGGCAGGACACACATCACCCGACATGGCTAAGAGGGGTTCAGAGTGGAGAGGATAGTAAAGAAAGACATCAGCTATATCTCTATCATGTTTCCTAAGGAAAGTACTCAAGAATTACATGTATACATTTAAAATAAACAATGGTTTAAACATATTTGAGGAAAAGCAGAAATAAGAAGGAAAGTCAGGATGCAAGGGTTTATGTTTGCAAATAACAGTGACTGTGGTCCACAGAGGAGAATCCAGAGTTAGCTCAAAGCTGGTTTTGACACACTCTTACTGTTTGTGTAAAACACAAGGCATCTTAACCAGCTGTTTGAGAAACTCTGTTCTGATTGGCATAAAGTTGTGTAGGATATTGTCTCCTTTGTCCCAATGTTCCAACCTACCAGCACACTGGTACCGAGCAGGCATCTAGTGCTCTCAAGACCCAAGTCTTGAAAAACAGCAGTGCCACAATGCAGTCTGTAGGAGCAGGTGACATCCCAACACTCTGTGACTTACACATCCCTTGACTTTCTTGGATGCGAAGCGTAGCACTTGGCTGATCATCACCAGGACCCTCTCCTGCAGGAAGGAGCTGTCCTCACTCATCCATGCAATCATTTCCTGTTGGAAACACAAGAGTCTTCCAAGAACCATGGCGTTTCCATTTCCAGTGGAACTTCAAGTCAAGAGTTGCCATGGTCTTCTGATTATTTCACACCTAACCTGTATTTATTTCAAAAAATACACAACCACCAGCTAGCATACGAATGCCTACTAAGACACCCCTTTATCTACTGTACTAACTACACTGGGGTTTTATTTTATTGAATTCTATTCAACTAGTCTTTACTAATATCCATGATAATATCCATGATAAGTCACATTGCCAGGGGTCATAAAAAGTTCCACATGAGGCTGTGAGGGGATCATCAGCTGCTTCCCCTCCTCTTTTTCTTTCAAAATACATATTCTCTTTAAAAAAATCCCAGGATTTGATTTTCAACTCAAAAAAATTAAAATGTTATCTGATCCTGAAATGTCATTTTCTCCCAGAGTTTTCTTTCCAAATTCACCAACCCGATATTTTCTGGCTCATGGTTTCAGAGTACTTTCCTGGAGGTGAACTTGGTTAGAAAATTCTTACTAATTTTGACTTGAATCTGTCTTGCTGTAACTTCTACCTGTTTGTCCTACCTCCTCCAGGACATATTGACAGTCTTGGGAAATGGAGAAGACTGCATTTGTTTCACATGCCAACCCCCATTAATGGACTTCCTAAGGCAGCTTGTGGGGAGTCCCTAGTACGTAAGCAACGGTAGGCCAAATCTGTTTTCTTTCACCTACTCCCCTGTGTGAAACTGTTCTGAAGTCCATTTACTAGGGCAGAAGAGTCTCTAAATTTCAAGGGGGCCAGCCTGTGCCTTTGCCAAGAGTGAGGGCAGCTCGTTTTGAGAACCAGGAGAGTTTCTAGACGTGGTAGGAATAAGAGTAAGATGGTTACGTAACAGGCTCCCACGTGAGCTTTTTTGCCCGCTAGCTTTGCACACATATCAGCACTCTTGACTGCTTCCATTGCCTTCTCCGCAAAATGGGAGCAATAATAGCAACTTCCTCCAAGGGCTGTTGTAAGAGTTGAACGCGATAACCCACATCCATACTTATGAAGCGTTCAGCTTAGCGCCTGGCGTGGAATGACTGCTCGATAAGCTGCATGGGGAGAGGGTGGTAATCATGCAGTAATGATAACTACTTAAAAGGTTGTGAAGTTAAAATTTTAGAAATGCACAGAAAACTTGTGGCTCAGATGAGGCACAAATCAGCTCAATATATTTCATTTTCAGTAGGACTCTTTCTTGTCCTCATAGACACCAATTCAGCCTCTTTACTTGAAAGTAGTTTATGATTTGGACAACCCCTGGGTGCTCCTAGTAGAGGAAGTCAGTCCGGTTTTCCAGTATTTCCAGAGAGCTATAGCCCCTGGTGTGGTCATGTGAGGAATTTAACATGGAAGACCGCAAGGTGTCCAGAGAAGCCTTCTGTCTCTGGCTGGGATGTGAAAAACACAGCGAGATCTTGGATGTGAAAGTGAGGCTTTGGACGGTTGTTAGACCTTCTCCCTCTGATACTATGGTACCGATGAAGATAGGATGCTCACAGGATTCCCTGTCCCCAGAGCTGTTGGGCAAGAACATGCATACAGACACTGTCAAACTATGGCCCCTTGTTACATGGACCTGGAGGTGGTTTAGGCCAATTATCCTGTTCTCTGTGGCCCCATGTTGTGTTTGCATCGCCAGCTAACATGTGGCTTCTCAAGTGTCTGTCCTCCCAAAATTAAATTCTTAAAAGTGTATCTCAGTAATGCAACTAACGGGAAGGGATTTGATCTGGGGGATAATCGCACACCTTGGGAGGAAGGAAACTTTTTCAGCCACTAAATATTTGAAGGAGATAGAAATGTGGCAAGTGGGAGATACTAAGAGAAGTGTGCTCTTTAGGTTTATGACAAGAAAACAAAATTCCTCATTTGCCTTTTACTTTACCTTTAAGATTTGCAGTTTGTAGAGGTCTTTAGACACTAAGATCAGAAGGGTGTTCTTGTATATGTTTAAAATACTGCAGTATAAATTCTGAAAAATAAAAACATTGCACAGCCAGCCAGCCAGCCAGCCATTGTTCCATAAAATTATACCCAATGTCTATAGTTTTGCATCCTGGTGTCCTGAGTCTTCCCATAAACTGAAGGTAAGAAAGGAGAGAGGTAGCTATGGTGATGAGACCTCAGCCAGTGCCACATGCCATGCATGGCTCCTGCCCCTTTGCAGGGCCAGCGCACTGTGCAGCTATGCTGATGAAATAGAGACGTAGCTCACCTCCCCAGGGGACCCTCCCCACGTCTAACTTTCTCTGCTCACATTTCCTTCTTTGCATCTTTACTTGACAGTGAACTCCCTGTCCTCGCTCACCCGATGAACCCAAAATCCATTCACCCATTTGTTCCTATAAAACCTATACAGCCTCTTAAATCCCATGGGTTGCAGAATTCATAAGGAGTCCAGGAGTACAGATTAGTGCTGGGGTGTACTACATATCTGCTGTACCTACGAAGAACGAAGGAGAAAACCACAAAGATGATGACCTGCGGGACCTTCTGAGCATGACTGCAGAGCAAAAACACATCTCATCGTGGTGAAAGGAAGCGAAATCCTACCTTCAGGTCCTCCTCATCGTCTGCGCTGTTTCCCGCTTTTTTCACTTCTTTAAGATTGGGCATAGTAAATACCAATTTAAAGGACGACTTTAGTATCTTCAACTGAGTTTCAAATTGTAGTACGGGATCCACAAAGCTGGCAAGAGGAAGGCGTAATGATTATTGAGGAGAGAACAAAGATAGCCTAACTTGAGTGGCTTTTTCTTATTGATGAGGGAGACTGGACTAGAAAATGAAGCCCAGCTTCTGGCTTTATATACCATGTGGGTTTTAAACAGCCTCATAAAAATGACAATGGTGTTTTAAATATAAAGGAATAGTTGTTTGTTTGTTGTTTTTTTTAAAAAATCATCTGTAACCTGTTATTTGGAAAACAGACCATTTCTCTCCATAGACATAATAATGTAAAGTGGTGACATTCCCAGCCAGGAACACCAAGCTGTAGGCAGTTGAAATATATGACTGCTACATTTTTTTCTAATCCATGATACATTTCTTGCATTTTAATATTTCTGATAGTAGATTGTATCTTCTAGTTGATGGCAAAAGAAACCCACCCATCAGTAGCTAGAAAGATAAATTGTGACACAGTTATTATTCCTTTGGTATGAGTGATCTGAATAACAGTCCTTCCTGATTTTTTTTTTTTGAGGTGAAAAGAATTATTTTTTGAAAAGATGGTGATATAGACGATAAGGCAGGAAATCTGGTGCTGAATTCAGAATCTCTTTTCTGCCCTGGACAAGACACCCTAACTATATGAGCTCCATTCTTTGAAATAGAATCTCTTAGAATGTATCAGACAATTTTCAAATCTTGGGAAGGTTGAATTGATTCATGGGTTCTCACAGATTATCAGACTCTGGGAACTCTGTCAAAAGTTCCCAGTAGAATTTTCAGTGGAAGGCATTTAACTTCGAGGGATATATTTGGTTTAGGAAAATGCAAAATTATGATTTTGATGAAATAGAAAGCTGTCTTTCATTATACTTTGAAATCAGATAGCCAGTCTTAAAAAATAAAAAATAAAAAAGGCTAAAATGGTTCAGGCCATGAACAAGGATTAGGAAAAGTAGCATGATGCTCTGATGCCACATGGAACTGCTGCTGGACAAGTGATCCTCAAATGTTAAATGTGAGGAAGGCTGAGTCAGACATTGGTAATACTAATAAAGAGAGTCACATCCAAATCTGTGGGTCCACATGGGCCATTGTCAGCAAGTACACATTTTTTGGTCTACATATAATTTTTTTTCAAAAGGGCAGTTCTAAATTACGAATGTGTGTTACAACAAGTGACATATTAGTGTAAGTGCTGTCATATTCCAGGATGTAAGACCAGGTGGTAGAGAAAGGAACTCAAGAAGAAAGAGTAAACATCCCTCACTAAGTTACTGTATGAGTTTGCTCTTGTTAAAATTTTGAACGAAATATTTTGTTTCCAAGTTTGAAGTGAAGTAAGAAGTAAGACCAAATATACTAAAAAAATTAGTTGGATTTTTTTTTAATGAAGCAATATGTTTTAGATAAAAACTAATAAACAAAGGCAATATATATTTTTGCAAGTATAATTTCAAGGATTGCAATCGAATAAAAGAAAGTAGATGCCTCCCAATGAAAGAAATTATATTAAAACATGATTAGAAGCAAATCAGGAAGACCATAGTAATATGATACAACGTTTAGTTCAAATCAAAGAGTGCCGAGAGAGAGATATACAATTATTATAAAGTAATAAAAGGCATAGTTAATAAATGATATATCCAAAATCACATAGAAATAAAATTTATAAATTATAAAATATAATTATTAAAATATATGTTATTAAATTATTAAAGATCCAAGGAGAAATAGAAGCACAGTTATAGGAGAGGGTAAGCATTCAATTATCAGCGTATGGTAGGTAAAACTGATAATTCTATAGAAGAAGAGCTCTTTAATATAATTAGGAAGTACACTTATAACATATAATAAATTGTATTAAATGAGATAACAAGGATTATATTTTTAGATAATTGTGAGATGCTGACAAATATCATATGCTTAGCTATAGAAAGTTTTAAAATATGAAAGAATATATGTTGCATTCTATAATCACAGCAAGAAGTCTATTTTTAAAATTAGAAGATTTAAAGTATTTAAAAATACTTGAATACTATCAAGAGTTTTTCTCATTTAAAATGAGAGAAAAATAGCAAACTAAGCATATTACTTAAGATTTTAAAAGGACAAAAAATCTAATCAAATAAATGAAGGGATAAGCAAAATGAATACATTATAAAATGAGAAAAAAAGGGGAAATCATAAGTGCAATGATCCTCACTGGCAAATTTAAATAAACACTTAAAAAAGAAAAAAGCAGAAGCAGAAACTAAATAATAAGTTAGGAAGACTACCTTAGTCAAAAAGAGAAGTAAGCTATTATATGGGTTTAATAGAAACACATAAAATTGATTTATATTATTAAATCTTACAAGTATACATGAAGATATAACGTGTGAATCTTTATGGATCAAATATTTGCCAAAATATGAAAAGTAAAATCTATAATGAATAAAAAAATTTCAAGAATGACTAGGTGGGACATTTTTAACACATGTAGGGAGGCAAAATAATCTTTTTTTTAAATTGGGGAATTGGGGGGATGGGAATAGCGCTGGGAAATTGGGGGAAGGGGAACAGACAAGTTGCTGTCGTTTTGTTCTTCTGTCTAGTTGTGGAGGATGTTGCTTCACTGGCCCAAGTTGGCACCATCATTGCACTCTTCCCGGGTGAGGCAGATCAGTTGCCGGCTTCTGGACGGCCGCTCACTGCGGTTGCTGGCCGCTCACGCTGGCTGCTGGCTACACACAGTAGCCCATGGCAACCCACTGCAGCAGGGGCTGCAGCCTACGCCGTCGCCGGCGACTCATGGCAGCCCAGCTCCAGGTTGAGCTGCTGTTCAGCATCTTAGCTGTGGAGGGCAGTGTCACTGGCCCTCATATGTGGGATCTGAACCGGGGCCCTCTGGCGTCCCAAGCCAGTTCTTAACCATTGAGCCACTCGGCCAGCCCCAGGCAAAATAAATGTTAAAATTAAATGTGGAATGAGGATCCTAATGCTGAGTCTGCCTTCCCATGAGCCCTATAAAATAAGGTGCAAATTTTGTTTATATGTGTCTATGTGTATTTTGTGGGAAAGGGTCCAAAAGTTTTATCAGATTCCTAAAAGGATATTAAAATAGGTTAAGAAGCCCTGACATTGGGGATTTGAACACCAAGTGCTAGGAATTTTACCTGTTCTGCACACATTATTATCTCAGTACATCTTCACAGCACACAGCAAGAGGTAAATGCCATTGTTACCCTCAATTTACAGATAAGGAATCTGAGGCTTAGAGAAGTTAAATAACTTCATCAAAATCACAAAATCTGTGATTGGGGGTGCTGATATTGGAAGCTTGGTCTGTGTTACTCCCAACTCTTCATGCTTAACCACTATTTCTTTTTGTGTAGCATTATTTTGTAATTCTAGTTAATTCAGCTAGTCAAGACACACACACACACACACACACACACACACACACACACACACACACACACCCCTCAAACCAAAACAATAAATGCGTTTATAAATACAGAAAAATCACCAAAGAGTGAAAATCAGGGATCTGGTTAATCTGGTTATTCAAGATGAGATATAATAAAAAGCAATCTCAAAAATATTAACTGATTTCATTTATGACTATAAAGTTTACACTTTTAGAATAATAATTTGAAAAATAATAAAAGAATATTATAATGGTACCTATCATGGTTTAACGTTAGGATGTAAAGGGAATCCAATATTCTAAAAATTATTATCAATACATGTCTTTTAATAGATTTAATAATAAAATAGTTTTTAATCAAACCTGAAAAGTATTTAATAAATCTCAACATCATTTTCTATGAAAAAAAACTGAAATAGCTCCTTTGAAGGTTTTATTTAAACCAAGAACGCACATTTTGCTAATTGAGAAGTAGTGTGTTTTTATTAAAAACAGGAGCAACATAAGGGTTTAATTACTTATTTTAAAATATTGTGTTAGACTTTCTTGTATTTCTAATAAGACATGATCTGATAAGAAAAAGTTCAGTAAGCTCAATCAAATAAAGGACAAATAGAACCCCACTCTCAAACCCCACTTGCATCCCAGTTGTCAGTAATTGCTTTCCAAACAATAACATGAAAAAGAAACCAAAATACAGCGTATCTAAGAAATTAATCTAGAAAGGTGCAGAATCTATATTAAAAATGCTTTTAGGGCCAGCCTGGTGGCTCAGTTGGTTAAGAGCTTGCTCAAGAATGTGAGCTCTGAGCAATTAGTGGTTCAATTCCCGGCCCGAGCTGAGCTGCCGCTGAGGGGCCAACAGGTGGCAGGATGGCTCAGCTAAAAGAAAAAAAATGCTTCTAATTTGCAGGGGTGACATAAAATTTGAATTAAATGGAAAGATATGTTTACAAATAAGAAGTTTACTTACAAATGCCATTCTCAAGTTATTTTACAAACTCTGAAATTGCAATTAAAATTTCAGAACATTTTCACCAGAAGTTGGTAAAAATACATTTACATTTCATTTGGAAAAATAAATTGGAAGGACTATCATAGACGACTTTGCTGAAAAAGATCAAGAAAATGTGGAAGATCTAGCTGTCAGAATTCTATTACAAAACAGCAGTCAATCAAAAGAATATGGTGGTAGCACTGAAATAAAACTCTAATCAATGAAATGGACTAGAAATTCTAGAGACTATCCTAATACAGGAATAGCAAATGCTGTATTTCCCTTTCCAGGCCAAATGTCTCAGTAGTTTATTGTGGCAGGAATATTTATGTTTGGTCAAAATGCCATCCCAACCATCCCATACCTATTTTTATTTTTTTACTTGAAAATTTTGTTGAGATATTTGTGAATTCACATGCGATTGTAAGAAATAATAGACCTCTTGTACACTCTACCCGACTTTCCCCAATGGTATCAGTCTCCAAAGCAGTAGTTTAATTTCATCACCAGAGTATTGACATTGATTCAATCCACTGATCCTACTCAGATTGCCCCAGTTTTACTTGAGCTACTGCTCGTGTGTGTGTGTGTGTGTGTGTGTGTGTGTGTGTGTGTTTAGTTCTGCACAATTTCATCACTCATGGAGGCTCACATATCTATCACTACCAAGATCTGGAACAGCTCAGGACCCTTTAAACCTATAACCATTCCATTACACAGACACATACAAAAAAACACACAAAACATTCAAAGGGTCAAACATGCCTTTGGAAATGGAGCATTTTAAATTGGCGTTATCTGTATCAGGGGTCAGCAGACATGTTCTTTGATGGTTCAGAAAACAAAAAAGACTTAGCTGGTCTCTGTCTGCCAACTTCCACCATGGCAATGCCAAAACCAATGTGGATACTACATGAATGAATGGGCGTGGTGTTTCACACCAAAACTTCACTTATGAATCCTGAAATTAAACTTTCCTAAAATATTTGCATGTTATACAATATTCTTCTTTTGAGTTTTCACCCCAACAATATAAAAATGTAAAAAACATTATCTCTTCAGCTGCACAAAAAATAGGAATTGCAAAAACATGGGCCATAGTTTGTTGAATTCTGGTCTGTATAGTGGAATTGTGAAGCATAAATTAAATTCATTTATAAATAAAAACAATTATTATAGACTAAAGAATGACAAAAATCTGGTAACAAAAAACTAGAAGATATGGAATATAATAGTAAAGTGGTGTCGAATTAATTTTTTATCAGCTATCATACAAAAAAATTTAAAAAATATATCTATGACTATAAAATCAATTCTAAAAAGGTAGAAGAGAAAAAAAAACCATCATGAGACACTTACCAAATATATAGCACCACTAAAATCCAAATAAACTGGCAAAGAATGTGAGAACATTCCCACATATAGAAAATAAATACATAAAAAGTAGGAATGTATGTAAATCTTTTAGGCAACTAAGCTTTAAACAAACATTTATTATTTGTGCATTTCTCCTGGATGAGAAATAGACAGTATTTACTGAAGGCTGTAAGAAGGATCATCCCATTTTCATTAGTTCCTGGTTAGGGGAAGCAGATGCCAAAACAAGATTTAGAGGTGTAAGAGGTTTCCAAGAGAAGGAGAGAAGGAAGGAAGGAAGGAAGGAAAGAAGGAAGGAAAGATTAAAGAAGAAAGAGTATTGGACTGTAGAAATTTCCATGGAGGGTTGGGCCAGGCTGATGGGGATTCCTCAATCCAAGTCACCCATTGGAGTTGTTTTTCCCACCATGCTGGGTCATCGGTGGGAACAGTCTGCAGACAATGAGACCTCAGAGAAGGTTCTGGTGGGTCTGCCCTGTAGACCTAATGGGCGTGTCGACCAATCAGGATCCTCACCTGGCAGCAGGGCCTTTTCATGGTTACCTGTCATCTCAACCAGTAACTTCACTCACAGAAGGATATTTCAAAGGAGATATGATCTTTTATGTACAAAGGTGATTATCATAATTTTGGTAAAAATATAATTTAGAAAAATTTAAAATTGGGGAATATTATACTGCCATTAAAATGACAATATGGCCACATGGAAGAATGAAGACTTAAGACAAAAATGCCAAAATGAAAACTATTACAGAAAATAGAGTGTGCAGTGTGCTCATGATTCTTCAATAATTACCTGTAATACAATAATTATCCATGTAATACAGAAAGATTAGAAAAGAACATAAGAAAGAAATAACAGTTGCTGAGTTAGGATCTGGCATTTGGAGTTGTTTATTTTTCACAACTGTGGTTTTTCTCTATTGCTTTTTTAAGATACTCATTCAGGGAAATAAGAGAGAATTAGCTTATTATACCTGGAGTTTACGGACAGGATCATGGCTTGATGACTTAAGATGCCTGAGTATGTGTCCCATAGGCTGGTAGCCATGTTCTCCTGTAAAGACCAGGAAAAGAGAAGAATCAGTAACAGGTCAGTGAGACTCATCACATATGCGCACTTCTGTCTTTCACAGGGACTCAAGGGACCATATAGGACTGGAACATAAACCCAAGAGCTCACACAAGTGTTGAGACCAGGCAAACTGTAAGTTAAACCCATGACACTACATGCTAACCTTTTGCAGCCAACCACTGTGCCTATATAATGAGCATTTTCAGACAAACTTCTGAGGAATACTTTTTACCAGGTGCTCTTCTGTACATCACTGTGTAACTGTTACGTGCAATCTACTCGGCATGGAGTCTACCTATCAAAATATCCACAGGGTGATTTACGTCAGCCTCACTGAAATCTAAACTCTATAGAATAAGAGACACGTACAGGTCAACGCACAGCTGTTGAATAAAACTGTTTAAGCTTATCCATGAGCATCAGTGGGGTTCCATTAAGAATTCCCAGTTCTTTATTCAAGAAGCTGGAGAACTTGAGAACGCCTAATAGCGTGGCATCTCTTTTATCCTGGGCACCCCACTCTTGCTCCTTTGAGCCTCTGTGGCATTGTCACTGTCTTGTATCATAGTCATTAGTGCTGTTGGTAGAAATTCCCAGTCTCTGCTTCTGAAATAGATCCAAGTTCCCTTTCAGGTACTGCGGTATAATATTGTTTCTAAGGAGATTTATTTGCTCTAATGCACAGGCAACGCCTATGCCCGGTTCCTTGTCACCTTGGTCCGTGCCCTCTGTTTGCTCTGTGCTGCCCTTCTGACTCCAGCATCATGTGCCTTGTGGCATCTATTATATGTTCTGCCCCGATGGATAGAGCCAGAGGCCCTTCCATGAAGTGCCTGTAATGGACTGTATGTGTGTGTCCCCTGAAAATGCGTTTGTTGAAGCCCTTAAGCCCATTGTGATGGTGTTAGGAGGTGGGGGGACTTGGGGAGGTAGTTAGGGTTGGATGAGGCCAGAAGGGAGGAGCCCCCTGATGGGATTAGTGTCTTTATAAGAATAGACCAGAGAGAGCTTGCTTTCAGCCTCTCTCTGCTACGTGAGGCTACAAGGGGAAGGTGCTGTCTGATCTTGGACTTCCCAGCCTCCAGGACTGTGAGAAATAGATTCCTGTTGCTTAAGCCTCCTAGTCTGTAGTATCTTGTTAAACCATCCTGAACTAAGATAGTCAGATAAACATCCTGACTGGGGGGGGGGGTCTGAACTAAAAAATGGCACTTTCCCACTAGGCAAAAGCACCCCGCCGTTACCTTCCGGGGGCAACACCCCCTCCCTGGGCCGTGCTCAGACTGAGTGGTGCCCGAGGATGCATTCTCCTTTCTTTCAAATGTTTATGTTTGTATCTACCATTGATTCTTTACAACAGCAAACGTGGTTTTACTTAATCGTGAGAGAGCAATTCTGTGCTATGTTGCTGATTAGCATAAGACATGTTATTATTACTAATAGAACATGAAACTTTCTATAAGACAGGCAACTCTCACTGTAACCCAGAACTATAATGGTGATTTGTCTATTTTGAAATAAGACATTTTTGTCCTTGTCACCATTTTCATTGAATTTGGCCAGAAGTTTCCTAGTCCCCACTTCTCTGGGCAGGTGATTACCTGAACATTCTATCTCCGTATAAGCCATTTATCTGGGACTATTGCTTCAGTGGGAGCTTTTCTGAGGGATCAGGCTCTCACTGAGCTTTGAGTCCTTTGGACATCAATTTGTGACACTTAAAATCTAAATCACGGGCTCTCAAGCTTGGCAGTGCGTCACGGGCCTGGAAAGTACTGATCCTTGATTCCTAGGCCACACTCCCAGAGATGTGGATTTAATAGGTCTGTATTCAAGACTAGGTATCAGTGTTAATAAGGAAAAAGCCTTCCAGGCGATTCTGATGTGCAGCCAAGGTTGAGAAGCACTTTTTAAGTGAACCATTTCCGCTCAGTCCTGGAGCTTGCTGGCACAGCAGTTCATTGTCATGGAGTCGATCTACAATAACATGGACCTCTGCTCCCCCTCTGTTAGCTAGCTTCTCTTCTTCATGTAGCCAAATTTGTCACTCGAAGTCCCTCACCAGGTTATTGCTCTGCCCGTTTTACTTTAACATTATGTCTTTTGTCGTCACTTCCTTGCTGTCACTTGTGCCATATCACGGCTAATGTTTATCTAATGTGAAAAGCCAACACACATGTTGATAAGCAATCAGGGTTGGTTAGCTTATGTAAACTGGTTCTCTGGTGATGTCATTCTAGGAAGTTACAGGAATCAGCCAGAAATTTCAGCTGCTTTCTCCGATTAGGATTTTTGTGATTGTTCAGAATATGTAACATGCTCACCAGTGTTCCTAGAAATTCTTTGGTGCCTCCCCTGGGCAGAATGATTGTCGTTCTGGCTTTAACTTCTATTCTGTGGCTAAGTTCTCTTTTATCTCATTTTCAATTGCTATGGAATGATAATGATAAAATGGTCACAATCCTGTGAATCTGTACTTTGTAATATATTTCCTCATGCTGGGTTCGAGGGCCGGTCTGGTGGACCTTAAGCATCGATGTTTATTATTTTGGCTTTCTTCTCTATGCTGGTTATCTGCTTTTCATAGATATCTTATATCCTTGACATTTTTTGTTCAATGTCTGTTGTCATTCTTGGCCAGAAAAATTGGAGCCATGCCAATTTGACGAGTCTCAGATGTTTCAAAACACATGCATATAATGTGTGTTTCTGATGCCACCTTAGCCTGGGGAAATGGGATTATCATCGTAATCCTTGTTCTGAGGGAATTGGAACTCTCTTCTAGTAATTCCCAAAGAATCCTGGGAATACTCAAAGGGAACCATGGACTTGGTCTTCTTACACGTTACGTGGGTCTACCCCTTTTCCTTCGTCTCCAGATCACTGGAATATCTCCTTGCTCTGAAAACAGCAACATATCGAACAGTGGGCAGAGATGGGCATCTGAACTGGGGGCATGACCATCCAATGGCCTTTCCTTTTGGGCTTCCCATCTTTGTGCTGGCATCTTTCCTGAGGGTAGTGACGCTGCCGCTGCTGACACTCGCATGTCCCCACCAGACTGGCCAGGGCCAGTTGTTGAAGGAGCTGAAGGCTCTGCCCAGAAGGAAGTCACCCACCACTCCCAACGATGGTTAACTCCTTTTCCACCGCTGCAAAAGCCACCAGAGCCAGTGTAGCTACACTGTGCATTCAGTATTATAGTTCTTCCAGTTTTACTTGTTCTTATAGTGCCAATTTAAGTACAAATTCATAATTAGTTGGACCTGGCGATGAAACTTAGATTGTCTATAGAAGCGTCTCTTCGAATGAACTTCTAAGGCATTATACCCTATGTATTTAGACATTTAAAGAAGTCATGCACACATATGCACACAGTACAGTACAGAAGGGAAAACAGTGGACAGAGTCCCCAAGTCCTCCCCTCGCTTCCAGCTCCCATGCCTTCATTCCCATCCTAGAGTCTGCAGTTGTGGCTGGTTTCCTGTGCGTCCTTCCAGACAGAGATACCCAGACACAGGAATGTTAATAACACTCTTTTGGCTGAGAAGACTAGAAAATGGTCCTATTTTTCCCCGTAACTGCTGCCACCATGCTCTGGCTGTCCCTTGTCTGCCAACATCTGTAGGTCGCTGTTTCTAGACAGCTGCCCCCTTCTTAACTTCTAAGCCTGATGACATGAACTTTCCATCTACTTGGATTATTAACACAGCTTCACCATTATTATTAATACTGAATCTTGTGTATTTAAAATCTTCAACCTTATAATCCATTTCCAGGGCAGGCAAGATTCTTGGTTTCAGGCTTGACGTACGTAGTATAGCTTGGTTCTTACATCAGTGACCCTGGAACCAGACTCCATAAGTTTGTACCTTGTCTCTGCCATTTGGCAGTTATATGACCACAGAAAGGTCACCTCCTGCCAAATGAAAATAAGGGTGGTCCTTACCCTATAGGGCTGTCATGAGGATTAAATGAGTTATTCATTTAAAGTGCTCAGAGCATGCCTAACTTGCTATACATACTATATAAACATAACCTATTTTTACTATTATTGGAGTGGGAAAGGGGCTTCCCTCTCTCAGAGCTCGCCTTATCTCTATTTCTCTGGGATTGTGGTTGTGAACTGGTTGTGACTATATATGTGTGTGTGTGTGTGTGTGTGTGTGTGTGTGTGTGTTTGCCCACAGCATGACTTTTTGTCTGCTTCCTGTTGGTCATTACTTCTGACATAGTCTGGTGGGAAGAATTTATACTGGAATGATAGAAGGAAGGATATGAGGCAGTTGTAGCAGACCAGTGAGGAGATGGGGGGTTGGCAAACAGTGGGATGGGTCAAAACTTTCATCCTTTTGAATTAGTGTTGAAGTTCATTCCCAGGGGCACTGAGGGTGAGCAAGAACATGACTGCAGGGAAAAAAAGCTTTTTTCCCTTTTTTTTACAGTTTTCAACCAAACCGCCATTTTTTTTTAACTTTCATTCACACACATGTATTTTAAACATTAATTATGACAGCCTCATAATAGAGAGAGTGAACAAGTTATTTTTTCCCCCAAAGATTTTAGTTACATTAATATCATTAAAAAGCATTACTTACCATGTGGTGCCATTTCACAATGGACTGCAGAATCTGTAGATTAGTTACTAGTCAGGGAGAAGAAAGAGATTAGTTAAAAGGGAATACACTTAATCTCTTATCCTTGAGGGGGACATATCCTGAAATCTGAAGCTAGTATGACCTTGATGGCAAAGCCCAACACACCACACACACACACACACACACACACACACACACACACACACTCTAAAACCTCAGACAAGTTCATTATGAATATTACTGAACAACACTTAACAAAAATATTAGCAAACAGGATACAGAACCACATTCAAAGAATAATGAACTATAACCCAAGTGGTAGTTATTCCAAATACACAAGGATGGTTCAATAAAAGAAAACCTATAATACGGTTCTCA